AAGCAAACTGGAAGGTGTGATGATGCCAGAAACAAGACCATGGAGAGCTGACAAACGGCAGGCCTTTCTCTTCTTCCCTTCTCCCTCTTCCTGCCAGGCACACCTGTCCCCAGTCTTCCAACCTCCCACCTGCTGACCTGCTCTTGCCCTGCACAGCAGCCTTCCCTGAGGCCCTGAGGGCACCAACGGAAACACAGCAGGGCAGGGCCCAAAGGCATCAGAGTTCCCTCCACAGGTGCCTGAAGGGAAAGCAGACTGCTGCCTATGGCCTGGCTGTGGGGATGCCTGGCCCAGGTGGCTTTAGTTCACGCTCCTCTTCCTGTGGGTCACGAAGGCCCTGGACACACGTGCCGACCACTTCCAGAGTCTATACTCCAGGGACCAGCAGTTAGCATAATGGCTATGTCGCTGGACTCCCATGTAGTCGACCGCAGTTTGCATCCCGGGCCTGGTGGCTTAAAACTCACTCTGGGCGTGTATGCGTGGGTGCCCAAGATTTCGAGAGGAGAATGGAAAAGAAGGGATTGTGGTGTGGCCACAATCACCACAAATCACCCCCCAGGGGTGATTTCTCACTTTCTGTCTCTCTGTGTCTGGCGAGTGCACGCTCCCTATAGCAAAAAAAAAAAAAAACACTCTCCAGAGGCCATCCTCCAGAAAAAAAAACACTCTCCAGAGTCCATACTCCAGATGGCTTTCACAGGAAACCTGCCCATGTCCATCTGCAAAGCTCACAGCTGCTCCTTCATGGGACTGCTGTGTGTGTGTGTGTGTGTGTGTGTGCATGTGTATGCACATGCATGTGCACATGCATTCACCTAATGACAAGAGAATGGAATTCTAACTCTTAGGACTGAATCCAAGTCTACTGCCTCAGAAACCCAAAGGAACTGTTAGATGCTAATAATTTTGCAAAACCAAATGATCACAGGTAGACTTCAGAGTGTGCTCCCATCCCCAGTCTCACGGACCCTCCCAATCCCCTCTGCAGCAGGCAGGGCAGGTCTCATCTCCCCACTGCCTTGTTGAGGAGGACTATGACTCGGCTGCAGCTCTCGTGAATTCTAAATGGCAGTGCCCAGACTGCCCACTGCATGCTGCCACATCTCTGGGCACTGCTGTCCTCGGAAGACATGCTGCTCGAGCTGGCCCACCCTCTGAGGTCAGATAACAGCACACACTTCCCTGGTAGGTGTTAATCGAAAGGCAAGTATTAGCCTAAGAGTCTGCTCATCTGCCCCCTCTTCAGAGACAGGACACAAGACACCAAAGAGCAACCAGAAAGAATGCATGTCACACATTGCCAAAGGCTCTCTCTGAAGCATGGGCACTTGTGCCTGTGTCCTTACAATAGCCATGTGTCGATTCATGATCATGAGACTTGGTACCTGTGAAACAGAAGCAGTGGGAGAGTTCAAGGCAGCAAGACCCCACTGAAGAATGTCTGTACCTACGCAGGAGCTGAGAGACTGGAAGGTATGAAAACAGAGACAGCAACTGTTTAACTAGAGACTGTGAGAGGAGGGTGGGAAATGGGAAGTCAGGGGAGGGAATCAGAGGGGGAGAAAACATTTAACAGACACAAAAATGGAAATTATTTGCTGACCGTGATGTGCATGTTAATGTCTTTGACGTGGACTGACATGCAGTGTATTCATACTGGGAAGATTCATTTTGTAGTGCGGATGTACATTGATTAAGTGTAAAAACCGTAGGAAAATTAAATTTTTTTAAAAAAGCATCCTTAAAAAACACCATTGAAAACAATTCATTTCTTTCACAGTTTTTAAAAGCAAGCACTTCAGGGGACCAGCAGTTAGTGTAATGGCTATGTCGCTGGACTCCCATGTAGTCGACCGCGGTTCACATCCCGGACCTGGTGGCTTAAACTCAGGCCAGGTGCATGTGCGCGTGTGCCCAGGTTCCCGAGAGGAAAATGGAGGAGAAGGATTGCAGCGTGGCCATCCCCTCTGGGGGGTGATTTCTCGCTTTCTGTCTCTCTGTCTCTATCTGTCTCTCTGGCGAGCGCACGCGCCCTATGGCAAAAACCTCTCAAAAAAAAAAAAAAAATGCAAGCGCTTCAATTTGGCTATCTGGAAACCGTGCTCTGGCCTGAACCCCACCCTGTGCCCCGAAGGGGTGGGGCTGGACGAGGCTATGGGGGCCACTCACTGTGACTCACTGTGTGCAAGTCTCGGTGCTCCCAAGACTGGGCCTGCTGCTGGAGGGGTCTGTGCGGAAAGCAGAGCTGAGAGGTGGACGGGCTATAACCATCTCTTCTGCTGGCAGCACAGGTACCCTCCATTTGAAGAGAGGGTATTTACAAAGAAACAATATTAATGTTTAACGTTAGATTTTACAGCATGCCAGGCAAGGCTGAGCCCAGAGAGGGGACAGGGTAAACCGAGGGCACGGAGAATCGATGTGTATGGCCGACACAGGCAGCATTTCTGGAGGGAATGAGGATTTGGTTGGGGACTTCCATGGACCCCAAGCCAAAGGAACGAACCAGGGAAAGGGTTCAAGAGGCAGCACACCGAGGAGAGCAGAACTCCCAGGTCGAGAGCTGGGGCCAGGGTGTGGGAGCAAAGCAGGCCTGACTCTATCTTAGAGGAGCGCCTCCATTCTAAACTGTTAGATTCCTATGACTGGAAACTGACCTTTTCCTCTTTAGCCTAAGAGCAAACAGTGAATTAACACTCCTATTGTCTTTAAACCCCACTCTTCCTAATTGTCTTAAGATAAGGTCCAGTCACGAGACCTTGCTCTAAGCCAAGGAGACCAGAAAGATTCCATTGTGTTGGAACCAGCACCCGGCTGGTGGCTTAAACTCACAACTCACACCCCCTGAGTGTGTGCCCAAGATCTCAAGAGGAGAATGGAGGAGAAGGGATTGCAGAGTGGCCATCCCCCCAGAGGGTGATTTCTCACTTCCTGTCTTTTTGGTGAGCACACCTTTCTGGCGAGTGCATGCACCCTATACCAGCACACTGTAACAAAACCCCCTCCAAAAAAAAAAAAAAGATTCCATTGTGTCCTGAGGTACGATTAACCTGCCTACCTTCTTGTTCATCTCAGGGTGCCTTTGGCTGGCTTTTACATTGTTCTTGTGACTGCCAGGTCAGCCGGAAGAGAGTGTGAGTCTTGCCTTTATAAGCACCCCCTCACCTTGCACTGGGGGGGAGGGGGGAGCTGCAAAGTTTTGAGACATGAGTCCCCTCCCCTGCCATGCCGCCAGCTTAATAAACTCCAGTACATTTGGCTGTGTCTGGGTGTCTTATCTTGCTGATTAGACTATAACAGGGACGACATGGGGAGTGGGCCCCTATGACACCTGCACTACACTGGCTGAGGAAGAGAAACATAGCCCTGGTGTGGGGCCGGTCACACTGGGAGTCCAGCACATGCGTGTGTGTGCACGAGGGCCTTTGAAGCAGCCATGCTCGCAGTGTCCACCCTGGGCGATGGCCTCTGCACTCAGCCCTTGGCAGCACAGAGAAGCTAAGTGATTTGTTGTAGGCCACACAGCTGAGCCCCAGTGTCTGGTTTAGGCTGCTCCACCTCTCCCTGAAGTGACTCATTGGAGCCTCAGCCCTTCCTTTGGTTTTCTCTGGGAGGTTTTGGTTCCCAAGACTAGGCGTGGCCAGAGTCCAGACCACAGGGATGGCCAGGCTTTGTGAGGCCCCTTGGCAGACGGTGTTTCCTTGCTGAGCTCCCTCCAGAAGGCAGAGCCAGCCTCGGACAAGAGCCATTAGCTGTCCACACCAGCGCCACCCCCCTCCCTGAAGCTAGGCCTGAGGCTGACAGCCACTCTCCTTTCTCTTCTCCTCTTTTCTTCTTTGCAGTAGGAGGCAGAGCCCAGTCACTCAGGGAAGGGAATCTCCCTAAGGGACTGACTACCTGGGGCCCACAGGGGCTTCCCCACACCTACCTCCAGGCTACCTCCACCTCCCGGCTGCTGTTCACACGGAGGGGGGGACTTTATCCCTTCTTCACTGGCCCTGTGCCCTGCAGAACCAAGCCAGGGCACCCACCCTCTGAGCCAGCCTGGAAGCTCCTTACAAACCTCAGAAAGAAGCAAAGCCTGGATAAGGCGGCCCTGGGGCCCTTTGTTGGACTGGTTCTAGGCCTTTAATCCCCCAGACGCCTAGGCAGTCCCACCCCATATGCTCTCAGGGGGCCATTGTGAACTCCAAACACTGTGGGCAACCCTGAAAGCCCGTGAACAGCCTGTCATACAGAGAAGCTGCTGAAACCAAAGGCTTCCAGAAGGGCTGAGCCCAAAGGCTTCTAGAAGGGTTGGAGGCCTGGGGGACACAATGGAGGGAAGTCTGCGGGAGTCCAGAGCCTTTGTGTGGAGAAATCCCAAGCTAAGCGAGAGGAGATGACGTGGGGACTGGGGCAGCAGCTCAGAGACTAGGGGAACATGACATGTGGAGTGGGCCCTGCCTCTGACGACGCTGCATTTGTTGTTGCTGTTACTCGAAAGATTTTTGTGATAGGGTGCATTCACACACTGGAGAGACAGAGAGACAAAAAGCGAGAAATCACCCCTCAGGGGGGATGGCCACACCACAGTCCCTTCTCCTCCATTCTCCTCTAGGGATTTTGAGCATACGTGCTCAATGTGAGTTTCAAGCCTCCAGGTCCAGGACTCCAACTGTGGTCAGCCAGGTGGAAATCCAGCACCTTAACCACTATGCCATTTTCTGGCCCTTGTTTTAATGTCACTGTTGTCCTCGTCAGCCCCACACTCACACTGCTGTAGAAAGTGCCCACTTTGGAGGGGAGAGCCACCCCCACCATGGGCTTGGAGGGCCCATCTTTTCTCTTGGAAACAGCCTCACACATCCAGGCCAAGGCCTGATGGCAGAAAGTCTCCCCAGGATCCCTGTGGTCAGCCACGCGCAGGCATGTGAGTATAGTGAGGGCTTCCCATAAATAAACCAGTTCTCTGGCTCTGGTCACCTACCTACCCCTGGGTGATTCTGGGGACGGTCATCAGCCCTGACCGAGGTGACGACTGTACCCGCCCTCGGCGGGCAGAGCAAGGTGGGGTGAGCGTGCCGGTCAGCGGGGACTTCAGAGACGGCGGCCTGAGCTGCCCTGACCACTCATCCCCAGTCCCCAAGGAGCCACGGGCAAAGGGATCTCCACCGTCAGCCCTTCACTTTTACTTCGGCCAGTGTCCCTATACCCCTCTCGACAGGCAGTGAGAATGCTGACAGGACAACTGGGACCCAGACAGGCCTGTCTGAAGAGACGTGTTCTCGGTAAGGAGGGAATGTTGTGACACTTCAGCTTCTATTTTCCACAGGTCTGGGATGGACTGTCCGGCCTGGGGTATGTCCTGGGCTAAGGAACGGGATGGAAAGGCCACCCCTCGTCCACTCCTTGATAAAGATGCCTGCTGACGGGGTCGACGCGGTGACAGAGGCCGGCAGCAGGTATAAAGGGAGAAGTTTGGGGAGCTGAGCCCCACATGGCTGACCACGGTTCAAATCTTAGCCCCAGGGCTTGAAAAACACGTCAGGCACATGTGCATGCATGCCCCAAATCCAGATGAAGTGGAGAAAGGAAGAAGGGATTGCAGCATGACCACATCCCACTGGGGGTGCTTCTCCCTCATTTTCTTTGTCTGTCTCTTTCTGGCAAATAAAAATTAGCAAACAAAGGACTTTGCTTTATGATTTGACAAAAGCGCGTCTCATTCTTATCTCAGCGGGAAAGCTAAAGGCATGCCCCTTACTTTCAGCACCCTGAACAAACTTTCAAGTTGACTCTTCTCCCTGGGGCGGGAGACCAGAACATGCCCCCAGATTATGTCTCCCGGGCAGAGGGTTATTGGGCTGAAGGCAACTAACAAGAAGAAGATGTGAGAAAATTTTCCACCCCTTCCATTTGCCTCAGAGCAGGAGACAAATTTACAAAGGCCAAGGGACCTGCCCCTCCTGCCAGGAGCACTGAAGACAGCTTCAGACCCTTGGCACCTGGGGATGGCCCTGGGCCACGCCAAGCCTTCCCACAAGCTGCTGCCTGAGACTCAGGTCTTCTTGTCTTGCTGAGTATCTAACATGTTCTGTTCTTCACTGAAGCTTCTGTGTAAGGTGCGAGTCAGAGCCACCTCCCCTTTGAGAACTACCACTCCAGGGGGAGTCCCTCATGTGGATGAAACAGCCACGTTAATGAATGCCCACTTGTCTCTGTCTCAGTCTATGATGGGTCTGTGCTGGCCAACCACTCAGGGGGTGGAAGAGAAGCCATTTTCCTTCCCTACTGGCATTAGTGTGGGACCTGGGACCTGGGTGACCCGGAGGTACCCAGATATCCCCCTGGACACTCCCAAGTCCACAGTGGGGCCAGCAGCAGAAAGGTAGCTCCAGAGGTCACCACCACATGGCGCCAGGGCAGGAAGGGCAGGAGCCTGTTTCCCTTCACACCACTTCAACCCAGCTCAGTCCAGTGCCAGGGAAGAGTGAGGGAGAAAGGAGAGGGGCCTGGGCACGTGTGGCAGGGTGGGCTGAGGTTGAGGTGGTGACTGCAGAGAGACAAGACCCATGGCCCTGCCCTTCGCTATGAGTGTGAGGCTCTAAAGCAGCCAGGGCTTGGCCAGGGCTGCGCCTTCCCTATTTAAAGCTCAGCTCGGATCCATGGCTTCCAAACCTGCTTCTGCACCCACTTCCTGGCCTGGGCTTCATGTGCCAGCCATTCACCCAACGAACGCCATCTGAGAGCTCCTTAGATGCCAGCAGCCTTCCTGGGCACAGAATGAAGAGGAAGTCCCTGTGCTTGGAGGGCTCCCTCTCAGGCAGCAGCTGGAGAAAGCCTTCCATCATAAGCTATATCTCATTTCTGCCAAACTGGTCTCACCGAGAGGAAGAGCAGATGCGATCCATCCCTAGATCCCCCAGAGCCCGATGCTCACTGACGTCTTCCAGCCACCAACAAGAGGCCCGGGTAGGATTGTCCCCACACCCCGGAGGCCTTCTCCTTCCACAAAGGGCCTGGCAGAACCTACTGAAATAGGATGGGAGCAGCAGCCTGGTCACATGAAGGCTGGCTTCGCATTCCAAGCTGCCTTCGAGTGGAAAACCGTTATCCATTGAGGGTGGGGGGTACAACGGGCAGGGTCTGGTAACCCACATGGAGAAGAGTGTCTGAGACACACAGAAAAGCTCAAAGCCAGTGATCGAAGGCGAGGGCACAGAAACATCACCACAGAGGCAGGGTCAGCCCTAGGGGAGGACCCCAGAGTGGGAGGAGATTGCTGTGGAGCCAGGCTAGGCCGTGGGTGACAGACTCACACTGACCCACGGGGACAGCCACGGCTTGGTGCCGGTATCATTAGGGCCGAGGCTCCTGGCAACTTGGGAGCTGCACCCTTACCCAGTATGCACGTGGGGCCCGAGAGGCCACGGTCCCCGCTGATGCTGAGAAAAGGAGAGACCACTTGCTTCACCAGCTCCTCCAGCTGCAAATAACCCTCACTTGGGCCTGCGGGCTCGTGAACACTCTGGAAGGAACACGCAAGACAGACAGGTCAGTGTAAGGCACTGCGGCCAGCGGGCACACGCTCACTCGGCCAGCATGCCCCGATGGCCCCCTACCATACAGGTAGCAGCATCCCCAAATGGAGAGACGGAGACAGGCCTGAAGCCCTAGGCTGCTGTGGTCACATGGCCAGCCCTGAGCGGTCTCTCCTCTCGGGCCCCACCAACACCACTTGAGGGAATGCCCCCAGCTCCTGCTCCAGGGCTGAGGCCTGAGAGGTCCCAGTGACAACAGTCCCACCCCCACTGTCATGGCCATTGATGCACACAGGACACCAGGCACTTGACATCAGTATCGTGCCGCATCCTAAGAGGTGAGCTCAAAGAGAGCAGAGGTGCTCTCTGCCCCGTCTGCAGACAAGAAGACAAGAGCCCAGAGCCTGAGGCAACCCGCCCAGGGAGGCACGGCCAGTACATGGCCGAGCCTGGGCTGGAACCCAGGGTATGGCTCAATGCCTATCTTACTACCACTGTCAGTAGGCATAAAAGGGGAGTCCAGAGCAACTAGGGTTATTCTAGAACAAGGCCGACTTTCCTACCCAGTGAAGATACAGGCCAAAAGCCCAGCTGAACCCTGAACAGACACCAGTGAAAAAAATGATAGTCGTCAACACCAAAAAGGAGCCAGTAACCCATGTATCTGAGAAAACTAGCAGACTTTGTGGGAATTCAGTGTCTTGCTGGAAAGGACTGGAAGGTACGTCCTTATGCAAGGGCTGCATGGAGGCAGAGGCCACCAGACAGGAGACAGGCCTGTGCAGAAGAAGCAGGGCTCCAAGGCTGGGCTCAGCCCACGGTTGCCATGTTGAAGTGTCCAAACAGAACCTATTTCAAATCACCTTCACTTTAAGAGTTAAAGCTCTTCACTCCACTGGGGCATTTCAGGTTGAAGTGGGAGGGGACATCTGTGCAAGGGGCAGAGCGAGCTCCCAAGGCAGGGTGGGCTTTTCCTTGGCCCCTCAGCTGCACCACATGGAGGACAGGCTGAGCAGGGCCCAGCAGGCAGGGCTTGGAGGCTGGGCTGGGAAGGGGTGCGAGGAGAAGTGGAGACATTGCCAGGCACCAGAAGGACATGGGGAGATGGGTCGGTCTCCCGCCCTGGGCTCCAGTCCCAGGCCAGCTAAGCAGAAGCAACAGAGAATTCACAAAGGACAGAAAGAGGAAAGCCATGGCCGTTTCGCCTCAGAAAAAACACGCAGACCTGTGTGAATTGGAGGGGAGTCCTCAAGGCAGTAGGAAGAATGGGGGGCCGTATTCACGCTCCTCCAGACCCATAGCAGGCCTCAAAGCAGAGCAATTTCAGCCACAAAACAACTTTAGGTTTCGAAGCCTAAGAAACTTTTTTCCCATTTTTTTTCTGTTCTTAATATTATCATCTGGCTTCTTTGCCAAACCCGTTCCTCCATAATCCATAAGTGCTGAACAGGTGCAGCAGTACGAGGTGGGAGAAGATGCATGGCAACAGGTGATGGGGCCTGGGTGGTTTTCTCCAGCAGCAAGCTGATGAGGGCTCGGCTTGCATGCAGCCCCGAGGTATGCACTGCCCTGGCCTCAGCCTGCTGCCAGAACTGCGGCGGCATTTGTCCTGCCCAGTGCAATGTGAAAGTGCAGGCCCCTGTTCGGACACGGTTGAGAATGTCAGGCTGGTCACTGGAGAGCATCGGACCCAGCCCAGGGCCCTGAGCACAGGCTAGCGCGGGCCTGACTGGCTGAGGCCTGCAGAATGGCCTCTCAGGACACTCTCTGGACTGTCCGTGGCAGCCAGGAGGAGGCTCCTCATAGTCAGGCTCCAGGCTCTGGGCAGCCTCTGCTGGGGTGGCTGAGGGCAGGGGCCTGCTGCCCGCCTGCCAGAGGAGGACTTGAGGACCTCGTGGGTTTGGGAAGTGGGGGTGAGGGCCCGAGAGAAGCGCCCTCTGCATTCTTTCTGTACTAGGCACATCGTTCTGAGAAAATCCTAGGTCTCTTGGCACTGTGGAAATTGGAGACCCGGAAAAAGAACAGGCAGTTCTAAGTACTGGGCCACGTTTTCTGTAGCAGGA